GGGTGCAGCGCTTATCATGAGTTAACCTGAAGCTCCCCTAACGAACAAAATCTCGCGTTGCGAAACGCGAAGTCGCTTTCTGTCTAGGTAAACCACACCTGCACACGGTAGTCGTGAAACTGATTTGTGTGCGTGCAATCTGCCCGCTTCTATGGAACCCCTACACCTCACATCACAGCAAATCCTGTCCAGATCCAGAAATCCAGATGGCGGATCCTATGGCGCAGCCCTAACTCACTCAACCTTAGGTCAGAGACGCTGCCCCGGGGAGTTCATTGCGAGAGAGCGCGACTTCTTCGCTTATTGCAGGGCGAAACTTTCTTCACTAGAGGAGCACAGGTTCACTGGTGATCATCGGGAGTGTATCTGTACCTAGCGGAAAAGTCGCTCCCTGCCCTAGTGAACCACACCCCCCGATGTAGCAGAACCACATCCCCGATGCAACCGCGAAACTGCCCAGAAATGGTAAAAATACTATGAATAATAGGAGTTATACACTAGCACTGAGAAAACAGAGAAACAAGCTGATGAACACGCTGACTGGGATGATTTAAGTGGCTCACGGGAATCGTCCTAGTCATTTCAATTCAGAACTCGTATCAAGGTTCATATGTTGACTAGCTGCGTAGACATAATCTAGGGAAAGAAGCGTTTGAAGTTCAAAACTTGTCCAGCAGTGGAGGAAACCCACCTCTAGAGAGCTTTAGAAGATTTAATAGATTAAATTTGCTATACTATCCCTCCGAGGCATACTATGCTTTCCAATGACGAACGGCCAGGAAGGACAGTACTCGCTTACGTTCAGTTTGCTTTCTAAAAGAGAGTTCATTTATCCACTTGGTGTGGGGTGAGGATCACAAGGACAGGAAACGGTTTTTCGCGTTTCGTAATTCTTTGAAAAACGGACTTAATTAAAGGAGAAACATCACATAAGAAGGTCCTATATCCATAAGAAGGCACCGACTGATATCACATAAGGCGCAAATGTCATACATTGTCCCGTGGGGTGGCGCTATCTAAATTACTGTGTGTGTGGTCTAGATAGTGCCACCCTATGGGCCTCTTTGCGTTATTGTGGATAGGGTGTTGAGTGTTGCCCAGACTGGAATACTTGCACCCCACCCCACAGCCAATCTGTTCACACAAACGATGTCTCATTCAAAGAAATTGCTCCGCTATTTGGCCAAATCACATGCAACTGCTGCGACAAATGTGCGAATGGAATTGGAATGTGTGGCGCATCTTAAAATCGAATTGATCAACACCAGTTCTGTTAGCTTCATGCTGCTCATTGCTCATTGCTGCTTCAACACCATGACCATGAATCATGCAACAGGAATGGCAACTGACCACTACCCTGGAATTTTTACGAAAACTTTTTATGTGTAAATGCTTGGAATGTCAGTTGATTGTAGAACCTGATCCTACCCAGACCAGCAATTTCGTGCACTTCTGTGATTATTTAACGAAAATTCATAAACAGCCGTTGCATCTGTATATGAGTGCGTTCCAGATACACAACAGTTCTGTTCGGTATATGACTTTGATATCCCAAAACGCTGGTGCTGACGTAATAGTCGGCTGCTTTGCCGATAATCCCTTTCTTCTAAGCGCACAAGTGCACACACTATGGAAGCTTCGACAACTGTGTGTGGGCAGAGGTCACCAGATAGGCAAACTTCTCACTATCAATGTCGTCTGCCGCCTCAACGTCCGTGATGAGTCTTTTAGATTTTACTCCTTCTTACATTAAACTAAGAGCGATCATGATCGAGGTTTCATCAGATCCCAAGTCGGTGTTTTTCCTTAATTATCCGAGGCTAATTACTGGTTATTGCCAGCACTGACAGCTACAGTATCTCAGTTGCTATCGGTCTCGAATCCTCGAATATCTCTTCATCTCTGCATCCTCATCAGTAAAAAATTTGAACCAGGGAAACACCTCAAAATCTGCCTCCTAGTTTTTCAATGCGTTTCCTTTCGGTAAGTTTTCTTGAGTGTTTCATTTCTTTGCTAAAATTTAGGTTTTTATGAATTAGCCGAGGCTAATTACTGATTACCGCCAGCTCTGGAAGCTACAGTAATCTCATTTTCTATTCGTTCTGCTGCCCAGAATGTCTCTTCATCTCCGCATCCTCACCATTATAAATTTTTACCAGGAAAACACCTCAAAATCTGCCTTCTATTTCGGCAATGTGTTTCCTTTTGATGAGTCCTCTTGAGTGTTACATTCTTTGTTGAAATTGAAACTATTACGAGGTTTTCATTTATTAGCCGAGGCCAGTTACTGGTGACCGCCAGCTCCGACAGCTACAGTAATCTCTATTTCTATTCGCTCTGCTGCCCAGAAAGTCTCTTCATCCCCGCATACTCATCATTGAAAATTTGATCCAGGGAAACACCTCAAAATCTGCCTTCTATTTTGACAGTGCGGTTCCTTTCGGTAGGTTTTCTTCAGTGCTGCTTCACCTTGCTAAATTGGACCGATTACAAGGGTTCTATGAATTAGCCGAGGCTAATTGCTGGTTAGCGCCAGCTCTGGCAGCTACAGTAATCTCAATTTCTATTCGCTCTGCTGCCCAGAATGTCTCTTCATCTCCGCATCCTCACCATTATAAATTTTTACCAGGAAAACACCTCAAAATCTGCCTTCTGTTTCGGCAACATATTGGCGTATTTGTGTTTCCTTTTGATGAGTCTTCTTGAGTGTTACATTTTTTATAATATATTATATATATTTGTATTTTTGAAACGATTATGAAACTTTCTTTAAACAGCCGACTCCAATAACTGGTCACCGCCAGCTGTGGTAGCTACAGTATACTCACTTCTTATCGGTGGCGAATCTTAGAATGTTTCTCACCAGCATCATAAACTTAAACCAAGGGTAAGCACCCAAAACCTGTCTCCTTTTACGTGTAGGTATACTGTAGAGAGGACAATATAGGCTCCGGTACCACGCGTTCGTGTTGATCGATATCTATCGAAAATGTCTGTTGTTTTTTTTCAACTGTTCTTGAAAATGGTAAAGGGTTATTTGATGCTGCTTAGGTATAGAACTAGACACTAAAAAACCACACGGTCATAGGTTATCAGTCGATATCGATCGAAAATATCGGTTTTTTCGAAGAGGGCTTTGAATGGGCAACGAGTTATTCGCTGCTGATTGAGTGAGGAAGAGGAACCCGAAAGTCCATAGAGTAATAGGTTTCCGATCAATATCGATCGAAAATATCGGTTTTTTCGAAGAGGGCTTTGCATGGGCAACGAGTTATTCGGTGCTGATTGAGTGAGGAAGAGGAACCCGAAAATTCATAGAGTATAAGTTTCCGATCAATATCGATCGAAAATATCGATTTTTTCGAAGAGGGCTTCGAATGGCCAATGAGATATTCGGTCATGGTCGGTTAGGGAAGAGAAAGCTGAAAATTCATGGAGCCATGGATAATAAATCGATATCGATCGAAAATATCGGTTTTTTCGAACAGGGCCTTGAATGGGCAACGAGTTTTTCGCTGCTGATTGAGTGAGGAAGAGGAACCCGAAAATCCATAGAGTAATAGGTTTTCGATCAATATCGATCGAAAATATCGGTTTTTTCGAAGGAGGCTCCGAATGGGCAATGAATTATTCGCTGCTGCTTAGGTGGAGAATCAGACGCTGAAAATTCATGGAGCCACGGATAATCAATCGATATCGATCGAAAATATCGGTTTTTTCTAAGGGGGCTTAGAGTGGGCAATGAGTTATTCGGTCCTGGTCGGGTGAGGAAGAGAAGGCTGAATATTCATGGAGCCACGGATAATCAATCGATATCGATCGAAAATATCGGTTTTTTCGAAGGGGGCTTAGAGTGGGCAATGAGTTATTCGGTCCTGGTCGGGTGAGGAAGAGAAGGCTGAATATTCATGGAGCCACGGATAATCAATCGATATCGATCGAAAATATCGGTTTTTTCTAAGGGGGCTTAGAGTGGGCAATGAGTTATTCGGTGCTGATTGAGTGAGGAAGAGGAACCCGAAAATCCATAGAGTAATAGGTTTTCGATCAATATCGATCGAAAATATCGATTTTTTCGAAGGAGGCTCCGAATGGGCAATGAATTATTCGCTGCTGCTTAGGTGGAGAATCAGACGCTGAAAATTCATGGAGCCACGGATAATCAATCGATATCGATCGAAAATATCGGTTTTTTCGAAGAGGGCTTCGAATGGCCAATGAGATATTCGGTCATGGTCGGTTAGGGAAGAGAAAGCTGAAAATTCATGAGGCCACGGATATTCAATCAATATCGGTCGAAAATGTCGGTTTTTTCAAAAACACTTCAAAATGGTAATGGGTTATTTCATGCTACTTAGGTAGAGAACTAGACGCTGAAAATTCGTACGGTCATGAATTCTCGTCGATTTCATGGGTTTAAACGAATACCACTATAAACACCAACAGGAAGTTCACTTCATTTATATCCAAATTTACCATATACGATGACGAATACTTATTTTTGCAAAGTGCAACCTTTATTTTGTTTTTCACTTTGTTTATATTCAACATGTTTTGCTTTTTTTTCACTTATTTTCGATTTTTCTTGCCTTTTCTTTTGGCCGTCTCGTCCTTTTCACACCTGTATGCAGATTAACAATACAGCCTAACAGAAATTGCACGAGATAACACTATACTACCCTCAAAACGATTTGTCGGAGAATTTCTGGAACAACAACGACAACAATAAAAACATTATACAACAACAACAACACCAACAAATAACAAAACAGATGCGCACAACAAGGCTCGTTGTAGCAAAGACTGACAACAATATTAACAAAAACTCGAACACATTTCAAACACAGGCACTGTCATAAAGCGCTCATCTCTTTGTTCACGGTTTCTAGTTGACATATGCAAATCCGTCGAAATAAATATGGCATGTGTCTAAGGAACACATCTATTGTCTATTTGCGTAAAATACGTTTCAGGTTGACACTAGAATAACTAAAAAGAAAATGTCCGGAACCAACGATGAACGAGTAGGGGTAGAGGGTGAAGTGCATCTCGTGATGCGGCATAAGACGAAGAAGACAAAGAGTGCTGATCAGGGCGAGGTCCCACTATCAAGCGATCAACTTGCTGCACTGGCAAAGGATTGCATACCATCATGGATAGAGAGTGGTAAAATTCCGAAACCGCCTGTTGACCTTTTAGACGGTAGGCTTTCATTATTACTTAGCGGCAGTGTGTGAACACTTATTATTAGCTACGATACATCCCAGATAAAACTATGCCTATATTCAGAAGTGTATTCTCCGAGCATACCGTCAAGAGGCTACCAATTCTGCTTAGTGTGCGGAAAACACAAGAAATTCACTAGTTTAGCTGGTCATATACAGGATGTGCATAAGGAATTCACGGAGAAATGGGAAATACAGGTGGGTTGAGTGTTTTCTTTCAAGGGTACGACACGAAGATGAATAGACTGCAGTTTTTTGTGTCTAGGTCCTAGTGCATACGGGTCGCGGAATGTTGGAAAGAACGAAGAAAGCGAGCGTTGACTTCACGCGGATACCCGAACCAAGGACTGACCGAGAATGGGACACGTATGAAGAAATTGTGGCTCAACTACGAAACGGCGGTGTTCCTGTTTATGGGGTCCTCTCCATTCCCTTCATCACACCTTTTACTTGCTTCATTCATTCATTGTCGCAAAATCAGTGCGCAGTGTTGCAGGTTTTGGAGCGACATGTGGTGCTCCGCGAGCGTTTTATGGCAGACAATCCCCGTATACAATGCCAACAATTGGAACTGATGGATCAAGCAGGACCGTCTGTTCAAGAGGCTTCTACTTCTTTTTCATCGGTGTGTATATGCGAAATTCAAGAATTTTCAGTCGCTCTCTATTTTTCTAATCTAATCAATCTGAAAATTCCCTCTTAGCACACGAGACCAGCAACGTTCAGTGCTCCGTTCATACCTCGTGAGTTTGAGTATAGACACGCTTTTGACGAGCAATACAGAGGTGAGCCAATTACTCAAGCAGAAAATGGCAACACGCTATTCGGATTTGCCTACAGGTGGAGCGCAAATACATCCTCATTTCACGATTCGGCACTCCTCAGCTCATATGTTCAACTACTATGACGATGAATACGATCCACATTACTTCGTGCAGGATTTCAATGTGCCAGCAGATTCGGGTATGTTTCCAAAGGCTTATCGGTCATGCCATGCCAAATCGCGCCTGACCTTCCACATTGTTAAGACTGGATGAGACGCGCGGACCTCTCTATGAAGCTGTGGAGGAAGTTGAAGGAAGAGCAACACCCTATTCTGAAGCGTTTCAAAGAGAGTCTCGAAACTTTCATTGTAAGGAATTTGTGAGACGTGACATTCGATCTATCATGCTCCAAGTAACTATTCCAGCTAATCGGGGGTAAGCAGTCACATCTCAAACCAATGGACACTAATGCGACCCACAGAGCTAACGTGTGCCGATTCATGCTTATAGCGATGAGAGGGCGTCAGCGGTGAGTGAATTTCCTCATGCCTGTGGTGGTTGTTTGTGGAGAAGAATGGCGAAGTTCAGGTGTGGGAATATTGTCACTGTGGACGATGCACTGTTCGCCTATTACATGATACCAGAGTTCTTACAAAAGGCGCAACAATGCGGAGTGACAGTCAATGTTCGTATGAGCTTTGTCAAGTCCCTGACCTCGTTCTACAAATTTCTACGCATTCACATGGATTCTAGTATGGTTTACAGGATTTTCTTTATACATACTCGTATCTTATGCAAAGCACCTGTTTGTGAACAGATGCTGGCGAGCAGAGAAAGGGAGTGGCAAACAGTGCGCTCAATCTGTTGGGGCACCACTACAAAACTCTGAAGCGCGAAGAGTCGAAAGTGCAATCGCACAGAGGAGTCGTCTCAATGGGAAAACCTAAGAAGGTTCGTACGGTTTGAAACCAAGTCCATAACTACGCGAGATTTCTGTTGTTTTCAAGGAATCCGCGCTGTATGGAGTGATGCGAACAGTCGTCAATCACCGTATGATTGCCGAAAAGATTGAAAGTATAATGAAGAAATTTGCCAGTGAACCGATGGAATTGCTCCATGTTGAGTACAACTTCGTTATGAGGTAAGTTACATATTCATTAGCTTACGAATCCACAAATATACCTTCGACATCTACCACTTTATCGAATTACAGTGCTCTATTGGCATACATTGTTGTCTGCAATTCCGCAAGAAACGAGGTGGCTTATAAAACAGTATGTGGTAGTCTGGTGGAAAACGCCCGCACAGCATTTCAACCTATGGGACTCGTGAAACAAGTGGTGTCGACCGAGGATTTTTGGGTAAAACTCTATCATCAGCTACGTTTCGTGTTGAGCCTCACATGGCGCTATTCCGTGACGGATTTGATTGACAAATTTTTATGCCATCAGTTTACCAGTAACACACTTAGGTTGCGCGCTACCCATCACCGAAGCAGGGAGGGCAAGTTCGCAAAGAGACAACGTGCAGAAGCGGCCTATTTGTACTGGATAAGAAGTCATACCAATGGTTGCAGCACTATCGGAAGCTGCGTACTTTGTAGGTCATAGTGAGGATGCTCATAATCGGTCCACGAAACGTCGTTGTTTATTTCTAGCATTGTACGGCAGCATGATCTTGAAAACATGAACGATGAAGCGTGCTGTTTTTTCCTATTGTGGAGCGGTGAGAATCTATCGCGTTCTTCTGCCCCCAATCTCCTCAGACGCTTTTTCAAAATGATCAACTGCGAAGATATGGGAATTACATGTAATTCGGTAAGTGTGAGCAACATTGAATGAGTGGTTGTTTTCGGCTGAAAAATTCTTGTCATCATGCTACAGGTAAGACACCAAGTTAGCGGGACTAACTACGATGAGCACCACGATCAAAGCAATATTACACGGGTGGATCCAGCCGATCCCAATGTTTGCGCACTACTAGGTTAGCCAACACAGTACAGTGTATTTGTGATGGTTCAAAATGATGGAAAACACATGTGCAACTTTTAAGGTCACACACCAGAAGTCCAGCTGCTACACTACGTGGACAACTTCACAAGAGCAGCAGTGAAGGGATATCGCATCATAAGGATCTTTGCTGAAAGGCAGAAGGGACTATTCGGGGCAGAAATATCGGCCGCCGAGCGACGCGTCAAATTTATGGGGTCGGTCTCAGTTTTTTGACATCTTCAAGCACTCCTCTCTATAAACATACTTTGTCTTAACTCTGCAGATACAATAACGAAGCCGCACAGTTATCGGACGTGGAGGGAGCGGAGGGGGAGCGCGAACCGTATACCGAGGATGAAGAGGATGCCGCTGCGGAATCCGACTTCGGCGAATACGTTCCCTCAAGACCAACTCATAGTTAGTACAATTGCCCAGTTCTTCCAGGAGATCACGTAGACTGGTGTCACATGTCAATGCTTCTGTTTAGGTGAAGCTGGTGGAATGGGCACATCACGCGGCGTGCGGCGATCTCCAACGAAGCAGGCAAAAGCCTCAAGCGCATTGCAAGGTACGTTCATTATGTTCATCACACACAACATTAGGCTGCGATGATGTTGAGCAAAACTGTTTAGAAAAAATAGAACATTTCAGCAGAAACCTTGGGAGACAGCAGCAGTGTAGATTCCGATCTTCAACTGCCCCATAAAATTCCCGTAAAAGCTGAGAAAACGAAGTGGAGCATAAAAAAATTATTCAAACGAAAAACAGCAAAAAAGGCGGATGCAAGCGGCAGTGAAAAGATGGCTGAAGGAAGCGACCAACAGCATTTCCAAGGAGCATCCGGCAGTGATGTGATGGCTGGAACGAGCGATCAACATCGCGCCCCAGAGTCGTCGACGCAAAGTCGCGAAGAGTTCGTCGTAGAGTCACCACTGGAAGCAGCACTCTCGGGAGAACAGAGGACAGCGCCGAAAACAATACCGGTGTTTATGGTTCCAATGGGGCGCTCTCATGATGATCACCTGGTAGGTCCATTTCCACCGCCACGGTCACCAGCGATGAGGACGGCGACGCTGCCTAGTGCCCCGCCGCTAGAGCACGGTATACACTTAAATAATTATGGCTGTAGACAAGCACTTATTGCAACTGACATTCCAGGCAGCCCATTTGAATTTGATGACTATGAAGTTACCGAAGAGTGCTCGTCGTCCAAAGTCTCCTCCATTCATTGGCGACTCACTGCTGTCGACAGTGTGCAATGGCCAGCGATGAGGCGGAGACAAATGGTCGTCAGAGACGCTAACCTTGATAGGGCTAACCTCACGGTAACGGCTGAACGGCTGCTATTATGGGTTGGTATCCAGTCGAAGCTGCTTCTTCAATTGAACACCTCTCGTGGACTGGACAGCTTCGCAGCATATACAGCGAGCCGCATTGTTATGTGCCCACGAGATGCACATGTGAGTCAATAGACGATTATTCACGCTTTTCCGTTTATACACAATCGTACCGGCCTCCTTCTGATTTTAGAAGTACGATCCGTTCCTTGAGGTCGTCCCATTCGACGCTGGTAATCAACTGAGTAAGCTGCTGATGGCAGCTTACTCTGATGCATACCATAGAAGTAGGAAAGCGTCGGTGGTAATTGTGCTGAAATCGGCAGCTGGTATTGCGACAGTTGTACTTCTTGGCGAGATCATATCGCCAAGCTCATCGCAAAGGTATAGCTCTTGCGTGAGTTACGATGAGACTGCAGAGAGTTGCTATGCGGTAAGCACTGTTCTCATAAACGCTTCGCTGAGCAGTCCCATTCTCAAAATAACATCGTTTCAGGTTCGCAAATGCAAGCTGGATACTGAGGGGCCGACCCTTAGCGAAGAGTTCGGTACAGGAGAGCTGTTGCACTTCCAGACCAAGAACCATGACATGTGGTCGGACTTGCTGTACAAGAAAAACCTAGAGTTTTCCTATGTTATCAACGTCATGCGCGACTATGACAGACTCCAAAGACTCTGTACGTTCCGTTCCGGATTCAGAATTCTTTCTTCAGTTCTAATTTTTTTTACTTTCATTTGTTTGTAATATAGCAAGCGGTGAATTCATCCATTACTTCACTTACAGTTTCTGTAAGTGATTGATGTACATCGAACGGTAAGTGTTAGTGTTAGTGATTCCATTTTATCCGACCATTTCATCCGCTTATAGGTACATCGAATTTCTGTTTCATGTTTCGTACAGATTCGTTTTTGTCTTACATACTTTCCAATTTTCCACTTTCATTTCATGCTTTAGAGAAATTAGACTTATCTTTCGACTTTCTCACTTTGGTTTCACATTTTTAGAGAGATTCCTTTTTTTATATTATTTATTTGCACTACTTTTCGGGTTTTTATTTCGTGTTTTCAGAGAGCAAAAACATTTGAATAAATACGGAAGAAACAAAAATAACACAATAAGCAACATTATCATGCGTGCACATAGATGTTGGCTTGCCAACGTTAATGCGCATCCATGTAAACACGTACCACGTTTAACCAACACCATAAGATTATGATCATTGAACATCTCCAGAATGATCATCCGAAATTTTTTAAGAGCGGAATTGACTGCGTTCACAACACGGGCAGCTTGCGATCGCACAAGTGGTGGAATGCAAGGAAGGAAGTAATATTGTTGAAGATGCTGCTGGTTGACCTACAGCTTGCTAACGGTGCCACAGATATTGTCGGAATAAATAGTTCTCTTTCAATCTGGACATCAAAACGATGTGTTTATGCATACACTCTATTTCCTTCGATGTTATATAATTGGAATTTTAACTTTCAACGAGTTGATCGAGATGTTAACAATCTGCAATCTAGTTTGTACAGAGCTACGAAATGCAGTCGGCTCAGTCCTACAAGGTGTTGGCTATTTTGGTGCTGTTTTGCACCAAACATACGAATGGAGAATTTGGTGCATACGCGCCAGAATTTGTGCATATTCCTGCACAACTCAACGCAGGAGTTTATGACGAATTGCTACGCAATGGCCTTTATGCGGAAATAATTGGCGAAGTTGCCGATCCGAAAGAAGCTTGTGGGATAGTGTTGCTAGGTGAGCACTTTGGCGCTCTTCCTACACATATTCACTTCTCTAGTGTGCAATTAATAAACATTGCAATTTTAACAGATTACACGGCCTATGTTGATGGAGAGCTATTCGAAGCAGCGATCAAACCAATCGAGGATTTCCTGCATGAGGACAATAAGCAGACCTTTCTTAATGAAACCCTTCGGATGGAGGTAAGCACCTGCCTTTTGTATTGAAGTCATTGAAGCACACTGTTCATTCACGTTACTTGTACAGGTGTACAATTTGATGAAGGCAAAAGCATTGGCTGAACACAAAAATGGCATGAGGAAACTTTTTGACATGCGCCGCGTTTCCACACCGCTATACAAGTAAGTATTATTTCATAATCTCTGTCCCAAACCTTCTACGCAACTACTACGCAACTATGAACATTCTAAGGTCGACTGATCTGCAGTTCTTCCCATATGCCGGAGTCGTGGCACTCGGAATAGGAATGGGACTTGGCGGTCTGATATTCAAAGGCGTCGAAAGTTTCTTCGAAGACAGTGAACTTGACGAATACAAATTGGCGAGTCGTCTCACGAAATTCATGCTCTACCCACGTTTCGCCTGTGATTTGTAATTGTTCATCTTTCACTTCAGAAGGCGCAAACTCAGTGGAAAGCTTTCGGGGAATCATTGATGGACATCATTAATGGGGTAACTGTCCAAACATCAAGGTAATCTCTAGATGCCGATAGCTCACATGTAGCTGTAACTACAGGAGGGCTTACTTTTTTCTAGTAATTTTTCAAACGTTTTTTCAGTAACCACTTCGGATCCTCATTTGCATTGGTGCAGTCCCAAGTGTATGCGCAAGTACATAATACACTAGATCAGCTTTTCGGTTTCGGTAAAGTAGCGGGAGAGCTGTTGGAGAGGTCAAGCAACCGCAGCCTCATGTCAGCAATTGAGCGACTCGTTGGCGAGCGCTTCAACACTTCACTGCTGGCGTTGCACGGCATTGGTGCTAGGGATGCATTGAAAGCTACTGTGATTGGAATGAATAGCGAAACAATGGAGATCAAGGTAATTTCATGGTAATAGTTTCTAATGTCGCTCTTGGTACTCATGATAATACGTTCTTAGATTTGCTATCCGACTACCACTGTTTCGGATATTGACTATTTGGTTCGAGTGGAGCCACTTGGGCAATTCTTGCCAAACATGACGTCATATTGGATGCATGATGTTGGAGGGCTGTACGCGGTAGGAAAGGCACAAAACCAGAGCATCAATCTAGCCACACTCAAAATGGTGGAGCACGAAAGTCTGTGTAAGCACTCGTCGTCAGTCATGCTGTGCAATTTGCAAGAACAAATGTCTGGATGTGGACTGCTCTCGACAAACAGGCATAACTGTCGATTAGTCATACACAATTCGACGGACAAACATGTACGGGAGTTGTTGCGTTAGGGGTTGCACATTGCAATTTGGACATTACCACTAGTAATCTACAATTACAGTTCACAATGGTGCGGCCACTAGCACGCTCGATGATACTAGCAACTAGAGCCACAGAAATGATGGAGATGCCTCAGGAACTCCACAGTATACCGGAGTCAAAAGTTATCACGAAGCCGGTGTTTGCCGTCGAAGTGCCGAGAGGGAAATGGCTGATGGTCGGAATCAAGGCCGTTCACTCGCGCATAGTTCAAGGAGTAATGGGTGCAGATTTTAAAGTCATAGTACCAGTGAGTGAAGTCGCTTTAGTTCCAATATTTTCGGTGGGAGGTACTGTAAGAAGTATATAGCATTTTTTGTTAGGATACTATGCCGAACTACACACCAAATGCGTCACCACATATGGCATCGGACTCATGGATTTCGGACTCATGGATGCGAATCTTTGACGTATCAACGCTGCAGTGGCTAATAACCGTCGTAATTTTCACAGTGTTGTATTGGAGACAATACAAAAAGACGGAAGCTTTAGAGCGTGCACAAAGTGACACAAAGCAATGGAGAGATCATTTTGATAATCACCGTATGCACAAATACCCTCATATATATGATTAATAAAACTTACTATTGAGCCCAGTGTATTGTTAAAGAAAAGGATCATAGATTCCTTAGATGTATACCTATGCGAGAGCTCGTTCATTTACTTGGATACTTCACTAAAGTTTTACTGTGTATCACTAACAAGTTCAGGTAAAGGGAAATGCAGGAACGGCGTGAGAACACTGCTAGGGCGGCTCGCCAGACTGCTCGCACACGGATCGCCGAATACGCCAAAAGAGTGCTGCCGAAATTCATACCTAATCTATACTTGGAGCTGACTGAAGGCGAATTACAGCGTCGCTTTTATTGCTTGGAAGCGTAATTTTGCGTTCGCATTTCAGATGTGTATTGTCCGCCCGCCGAAGAAGCCATCCAGATCTGTTTTGTATGTGGGAAGCATGAAAAATTTAGTTTCAATATGCATATGAGTAGAGCTCATGGTATTAAGCAGAGAGATCCTGAAGGAAATATAAGCGAACTCTATGAGGTGAACTGAATTGTACCTTTCTTGTAAAAATTCTGAATATCAACAATTTTTAGGCACATAAGCAAGTCACTAGAGGAGTACTAGAAAAATTGAAGGGTGCCTTCGTGGATTTGCAGACTATTCCCAAGCCACGGGAGCCAAGGGAGTGGCAGATCTACATGGCATTCGTGCAGCAACTATACGAACGCGGTGTTCCACTGCGCAATTACGTGAGCATTAGACTCGAATCGGTTGACACCTTCCATTCAAGTGTTGTGTGTGTTCAAGTGTTTACAACGCTACGATTACACAGGAGCAATCATTGGTCCAGCTAGGTGCTCAAGTGCAGCGTGAGGAAGAAATGCCAAGACCGTCGGGTTTGGTGGCGGCAGGCGCACAAGTGCAACGTGAGGAAGAAAGGTCAAGGCCGTTAGGTTTAGCGGCGGTAGCTGCACAAGATCAAGCCGAAGAAGAGAGGCCAGGACCGTCAGGTTTAGCGGCGGCAGCTGCGCAAGTTGTACAAGAAAGGCCAATAGATCAGGTGAGCTATTTTTTGTTAAAATTCCGCGACTTAACGTGAAATTTCAGCAAAAAAAATGACGAGATAATTCAGGATATCGGTGGTCGGCCATCTACACGCGGAGCGCCGGCTATACCAAGGAGTCAGCTGTGTTACAGAGCCAACATCACTGAAGACTCGGAATATAGCGGTACGCACGCAAAAATTTCTCGGTGTAAAGTAACCATAGCTACGAAATACAGGTGGTCATCTTGTACACCATTGGTTTTTGAGAGCGCCTCACAGAAATTTGATGTTTGACCACGAACAAGACGATTGGAGCGAAGGCGAAGCACATCAGGAACGTCCGTATTACGTGCAAAAATTTCGAATCCCACCAGGCAGTAGTCGTGGCCAAAGTTAGTCGCATTCAAATAGAGTTCGATATTAATTTGTGACGTAACTGTGGTATACCATAGGCTATGCCAGTACAGTTGCTCTAAAAGCAATACCACTATTAAGGATGGATGAGCGAAGTAGATGGACGGTTCAAATTGTGGAGAAAACTGGTCAGGCAAAATCATCCAATATTGCAAAGCTATTCGGAATTCCTCGAAACTAGGACGGTAAGCAAGTCTGCTATTAATCACTTAGTCATTGTGGAGCAAACTCACGAGTAACACTGTAAGAATTCATTACATGGCTAATGGAAACGTCCTTTCCTATTCCATCAAATCGTTCCCGAGAGTTGGCCAACCGCAACAATAGTTGACTTACAGTCCGTCCGCGTGGTAGACGACAATGATGTACGACAACTCTATCAGGAAACAAGTCAAGCACGGAGGTCATATGCGAGTGATGTTGAACGTTTCATGCTTGTGGCAATGCGCTCAAGAAAGAGGTGACAGGAGCGATCATAGCAATCAAGAGTAAAGGTTTAAAATTCGCTGTTCAGATTCGGTGAAACCGTGTCCATCGACGACGCTATCTATTCCTGTGAGATTGTTACGGAGTTCTTTCGCCAATTACAGGATGCGGGTGTGGTGTTAAGTGTGAGAAAGCAGTTCGCGTTAGCACTGCTGTCGTTTTATAAATTCTTGAGGCTGAATATGAGCGCAGGTTTGCACCTTAAACAATGCAGTAATGAGCTACATGAGAAACCTGTAACTTTCAGTGGCCGGATATGCTCGAGATGCTGCGATTCACTTTGCAATAAGAATTACATAAGCTGAAGTTGAAAGGTTGAAGGGTGAGATGAGATCCCACAGTACATATCAAGGGCTCAATGATAGTGAAAGGCCGGAGGTAAGAGAACACATCAAAACACACGGCAAAAATTGCACGGTTCGAAACGTTCCGATGTTCAGAATACAGTACCATACTGTGTGATGAAAAGAGCAGTAATTTGTCTAAGGATGGAGGATGGGATAAAACAAATTATGAGAAGATTCGAAGAAGATAGCCCATCGTTAACGCATGCAGATTACAACAATGTGATGAGGTAAGGTACTTGAGCAATCGTGTCCTAAACCTTGGAAGGAAATGGGCTTTCTTTAGTGCTGTCATGGTGTATCTGCTACACTGTAATGGTGCACGAAATGACTTACATACAAAACACGTTATGGCAACATATCCACACTTGAAATCGTTATGCCCAATTCTGCACTTGGTATCACAGAAAACTTCCGGGTGAATAAAACACAATTTATTCCATTGAAGAGTCTCAGTTTGGTGTAGAGATACTGGATCATCCGTTCATTTCGGAAAGTACCCTAGGCAGAAGCGCTACAATGTGCGTGACCCAATGGGCAGAGGCGGTGGCTATTTTGTCGTTGATGAAAAATGTAGAAAGTGGCTCGACTACTATGGAAAGCTCCGTGAACAGTATGTTTTGAGTATGTGGACGTATTTTTCCCGGTCATTTATAATCTTTATTTAGCGTGTGCCGCCAAAAGGGTATAGCGTATGCCAACACAACAATGAAGAGATTTCTCATACAGTGGAGTGGGCGCTAAGTGAAAGAAAACTTGCGTTCTATGATGAAGCACTTGTTCAGGAGTTTAGGGTGTGGAACGCTGGGAATAAACAGTAGCACGGTGAGTCCTTAACAACATTGTTGACCTTATGACTGCTTATTGTGATTTAGGTTTAGACAAGGCACAGCGTGGGACACATAGAGTTTGAGAAAGACATCGCACGGCTGCTACTCTTGAGGGACAGATTTACTAATCTTAATGTGGCTTTACTACAATGTGAGTGATAGCCAGGCTGTTATGTGTCATGCATTTCATTCAACGTTCATGATTAACCTCGCACTTTGACAGCACATCGCCCGAGGACGCAACAGGAATTATACGTGGAAAGATTTCGACTATGCTGTGTTTTTGGTTCACTGGTTTTTAGAGACTATGCACATGAAGAGGGGAGCCAAGAAGAAATGACTGCACAGTAGGCTCAAGTGGGGCAATTGTTGAATGGGGAGAGAGCGTGAGTAAATTCCTTATTTTTTCTGCAGCTCACCGCTTCTATACATAAGCCAGGTTTAGTGTGGTTGAACCACGAGCTGTAAAAAATGGAAATCAAGCCGCACTGTCACCACGACCTAAACATGCTGCAGCAGACGATGAGTTGGACGATCATGAAGATTTGTATGAATCGTACCAGCCTGTCAGCTCATCTTCAGAAGAATACTATTCTCCAGAGGAGCGACCAATTAATCCATCAGCCGGTGAACGTGGAATGGAGCCAGAACCAGAAGAGCAAGCGATTCTTGTAGCCGGTGAACAAGAAATGGAGCAAGAACCAGAGGATCTTCCGGGTGTGGAAGCCGGTGAACATGAACAAGAAGACCTTCTAGAAGAGCAACCGGGTGTGAAAGCCGGTGAACATGAAGTGGAGCAAGAATCAGAGGAGCATCCGGGTGTGGAAACCGGTGAACATGCAATGGAACAAGAAGCACAGGAGCAACTAGATGTTGTAGCTGGTGATTGAAATGGCAGAGGTGGCGGAAGAGCAACCGGGTGTAGAAAGC